TGCAGTAGATATCCCCACTGATTTCAAAGGAATTAGTGTCTGTCTTGTATTTATTCTCCTGGCTTAGATTCCCTCATGCATATCGACTATAGGTGAAACAAAACCTCTCAGGTAAGTGACAGAGACAAATTATCTTAGGCTTCTACCGTTGATGGTGATTTGATATATATATATATATAGGTCGGAAACTGGCGAAAGTTAAAATTGGCGGTCCTGATTATTGGATTCCACGTTTCTCGACTTTACTTCTGCTTTCGACTCTGTACCTAGATGTCTCTTGCTACATAAGCTCTCTATGACAAAAACTGACTCCTGGGTCACTAACTGGCTGCATTCCTACTTCTCTGACAGAATGCAGTACACCGTATACAAAGGTAAATCCTCCTCTGCTGTGCTCACTGAAGCTAGTGTCCCCCAAAGTGCTGTACTCTATTCACTTCTCTTTTCTTTCTTTCTACATGACTTACCATCTTCAAATGACATCCATTTTGTCAAATATGCTGACGAACTGTCTGTATCTTTGCCTGTCAAATGTCAAAGTGACTGCTCTAAACTAAATGGCTTTCTGTCAGAAATCAGCCAGTGGTCCAAGGAAAACGGTCAATTTCACCTTGAGGCATAAATCCGACCTAAACAAACTGGTTGGCTCTCATGAGGTGTGCAACATAGATGGCACTGAAATAGAAACCAAGTCGGAAATTGAATACCTAGGCGTCATTCTATCTGCTGATCTCTCCTGGTCGTCTCATATCTTGGCGATTTCTAAGAAAATATTCCGTCTTACCTTCTGCATCAAGAAGTTAAGGCATTCTGGTATAACCCCCCAACCCTTACTCCTACAATTCGTTAACTCTCACATTCTCCCTGTTATTCTCTGCCTATTGTTCCCCCTTAGTTTTTCCCGGGCTACTGGAGAAAGACTATAACATATTACGCAGGATGTTAAATGTTGTCAGCAGGGTAAGCAACGTACCACTTAACCAGCTTGTTAATATTCTGGTTGACAGGTACATGGACTCGTGTGAAAAATCGGCCAAATCCATTTTATCTAACTCACATCAACCCTCTTCACTCACAACTCTCCCCTTGCATCTCATCAGGCAAAACCAGAAGCCTATATAGAAAACTATATGCTCGCACCAGCAAGTACAAAAACTCAACCATACCCTACTTAGTTCGTGTTCTGTGCGATAAAGAAAGCATTAGGCGTGACACCTATAACTTATTAAATAGTCAGTAGTACAACTGGATCTCGTCTTTCCAACTCATATCACATTTATAGGTACAACATTTTCTTTCTTTCTTTTCCTTTTCTCTCTCTCTTTTCTGTTATGTGCTGCCTTGTAGATATGATAGCACCTACTTTTCTAACACCTTCAAACATTCTGTTCAACTTTGGCTTTGCTACCGACATGCCAATATGTCGTTGTCATAATGAACTGAGATTTTCTTAATCTATGTAGAATTCTATTTATTGGTAATGTACTAACTGGATGCAATACTGTAGTAAACAAAATGCTGAGAATTCCATTCTGTATCACAAGTAGTGTTTTGGAATAAAGCAAATTATTATTATCCCACTGTATAAATGGTCGATAGGCTAGCTTTGTGCCCTGAAGGTCTTAGTTTCGATCCATAGTGGTGTTACCATGAATGTATACTTCTGAAGAATCTCAAGCTGACATAGAACAACTATCGATTGTTCCATGGATATTTTTGGTTACATCTAGATGCAATATGAAACTGAAGATATCAATCAACACTTGTTTGTTACTATATCTAGTGGAAAAAAAAATTCTCATCATAAAATTACTAACTAATTACTTACTAACAGTAATAATGAATTATGCATTACAATAACTTTTAGTTATACTACGCTAAAAGGACGTCTATCTTATTTCTGAAAAAGGGAAACACTAAAAAACTGAATAAAAAATTCAAACTTCTCTAATTAGTCTCAGTATACAGATATTCTGATAAATGGGCCACAGTAGTCTCAACTCAATATATACATATATAAGAAAAAATAAGGCAAAGAATATTCACATTTTCGCTAACTCCCTCTTCTTAAGGTGCTACAGCTTTATACACAATATTCAAAGAGTAAGTGTTATCGGAAACAGGCATAAAATGAACTCACACAAAAAGAGACTAGGATGATCTGGACTTCGCCGATGAGATATGTCTGATTTCCCACAAACTAGAAGATATGCAAGCGAAAACCAACAAGTTGGAAGAAGAAGCATCCAGAGATGATAGGACTTCAGGTGAACAAGAGGGAACAGAGGTGATGAAGATTCCTGGGCAACACCACCACCACCACCACCAACAACAACAACAGACAACAATCAGCCAGCATAAATGGAAGGAACCTGAAAGAAGCAACCTCTTTTACCTACCCGAGAAGCATCGTCCCAACTACAGGCCAGCGGAACTGACGAGCATATCAAAGCAAGAATCGGAAAAGCGAGACAAGCTTTCACTACTTTCAAGTCTGTGTGGAGGTCAACACCCAGCACTCAGCATCAAAACAAAGATAAGATCCGGATTTTCAACTCCAATGTGAAGTCAGTCAGTGCTACTATACAGATCAGGGACTTGGCCAGCGCGTCATAAAGAGCACCTCAAACAAACTACAGACCTTCAATAACAGCTAACTGTCTTCGCTCAATACTACTCAAGATCAGATGGGCGGCCGGCCAGAAAAGATCAGCAACAGAGAGGGATCTCTGGCAATGAGCGAACCAACCGATTGTGAAACAAATAGGCAGGAAGAAATGGAGGTAGGTGGATTGGCTGGCCATACTCTGAGGAAACAAGCCATCAAGTGAGTGACATCACTAGACAAGCCATTGCTCCAGTGGAACCCGACCGAAAGGGAAGCGGCGGCGAGTTGGTCGTGAGTGCAAGGGTGAGTGTGACTTGGAGGAGGTGATGTGAAGAGGAGATGAAAGCGTGTGGGCAGACTTTGAGCCAGGTGAAGACTGTAGCAGAGAACCGAACGTAATGGAGACGCACGGCTGAAGCCCTATGTTCGTCTAGGAATTAAAGGAAACATTTATTGTAATAATAATAATAACTGTTATCGACCGCTGAGTCGGGTCCAAGCCCTAGGATGGTCTACTGGCTTGCCATTTAACCATAAGGTCCCGTTGGTTCGAACCGCAGTGGATGCATCATTTGTCGATGAGTCCCAAAACTAGGATGAAACAAAACTGTTCCGGTCCTCCCTAGTTTTCCAGTGGTTCTCTAACCGACATCAACACGTGATCAAACTTGACACAAATCAGATCCCTACGTACCACCTCCTGAGAATTATTCTGGTGCTGTGTTTAGTGATTGGCTACAGGATGAATTCCACCAAGAAATTGTGGCCAGTAGACTCTATCAGGTCAGACCAGAGGAAAAATTATTCGTTGATGACATTAGCTGGTGGTCGGGCTGAAATCACAAATTGGTAGGAGTTAGAATTCATGGGCTGTTGAATCAGGTCCAAGTGCCTGATTGGTCGACGAGTTTTCCTTGTAACTGGTAGGTCCTAATAGGTGCGTATCGACAGCACCCCTAGCCAATGTCTTCGGCGAGTATTTGTCCTCACACCCGACCTGCCGCACCCTACTGGTCATGACTTCTCACTAGAAACCCTGGGTAACTACCTACCTGAATAGGGCCAGTCGCCAGTGAGCATCTCATTGATGTTCAAGTGTTGGTTTGTAGGGATTTGGTTTTTTTCAACCATTTTTTAACCATTCACTTATGTGTCCTTGAGTCGAAAATTATGCTAACACACATTATGGATCGGCTTTTTTGAACGGCTTGTGTTCGTTTTTCGGAGACGATGGAAAAATCTAAGGGATTGAAATAATAGAGAAGATTTGTAGCTCAGGTGGATGATTTGCAATTAATAGTGTTCTCTGAGCTGGTTGGTTTAGTTGCGGAGCTTTCGTCGTCCCCTGCTGGACAACATCCCCCTTCAGAGCGATATTTAGCATAAAGTGAAATGATCTAAATTTCTTCATGAGTGATAGAATCGCGTACGTCTCCTGGTAACCATCTTTACATATGTATTGACCATTCTCTATTGACTTGGATTTTAAACTTTCTCGTCACCTGATTTACTTTCTATTAGTTGGTATATTTCGTCTATATTAACGTGTTTGTTAATTGCATTTTCGTTTGAGTACCAACCAGGAATCTAGGAATTCCCTGACTGCACTGCTGGTGTTTCTTCTGTCTAAGATTTTGACATTATCCCAATCGAATTGATGACCATAATTGTCTATATGCATTGATACTAAAGAATATATATCGTGTCTTTTCACGGCTGATTTGTGTTCTTGGATTCTAATTCATTTCAATTTATGCTAAATATTGCGCTGAAGATGTTGTCCAGAAGGACGACGAAAGCTCCGCAACTAAACCAGCCAGCTCAGAGAAGACTATTAATTGCAAATCTAAGGGATTATTAGTCTGTGCTTCAAATAGAACAGTATTGGATCACACATTACACTGCTATAGATTGTTATTTTAACTGAAAGTCTTGAATGAAGAGGAAACAATAAGCAACAAATTACATTAGTATTTCTTTAGACTGTGTAAACATTTTGTCCAATATACATACATTTGTGTTAGATATCAGAGCAAATATTTGTTTTAATGCATTATTTAAGCGTCCATACTGAATCGATTGGTGAATCGATCAGTTTCAAATGTCTTATCAAAAGAAATAATATCCTTCCTGTAGAAAAGTAATAAATAATTCTGCATCATCACTCTTAATTATTACCACTACTACTAACACAACGTGATATATTACTTTAGATTTTTATTAGCTTTTCTTGTGTCTTCTGAAACAAAATACATTATTTATATTCATTCTATATGGAAATAGTGATTAATTTTATCCTCTTAAAAATAGAACTTTTCTTTCACATATTTTATTCTACCTACTCACATTTCTTCTCTTTGTCTTTATTTATTTTTTAAAAATTTATGCCCAGGCGTTAGTCAATTCAGCGTTAAAGGATCAATTGGCTGAACTAACAAGGAAATTGGGCGAAATTGAAAAACGTCAGGTTTGTTTTGTTTTGTTTTCATGAATATTTTGCAAAATAAAAGTAGCAGTTTGCTGTTACTTATACTGCCTGCTTTGATAACAATCATTAGTATGTAATGCGTTTGAGATTAGATTGGCTTGAAAGCAAGTTATGAGTGATGATTTGTTTGTCTCTTGCATTATTATTATTGCTCCCTTGAGTTCCTAGTAGATCATAAGGATTCAACTGCACGTCTCCACTTGCTTCTCTCTTCGGCTGTAATTTTCACCTGCATCCATGTTAGTCCATACTGTTTCAACTCTTCTTCACACGATCTCCTCCATGTCACCCTTGCACTGACGTCCCACTCGCCGCTTCCCTTATGGGTTACACTCGAGCACTGGCCTGAATGACGCGCGATGTCACCCAGCCGCCTCCTCCTCACCGAGTGTCCAATCGATCTCCACTTTCTCCTGCATATTTGTTGGCCGATTGGTTCTTGTTTTGTTTCTTCCCATAGTTTCTTGTTGGTTCTTGTTCTTTCCAGCGGCCATCTGATCTTCAGTATAGAGCCAGCGAAGACAGTTAGTTGTTGATGAAGGTGTGCAACAGGCTGTTGGAAATATTCTTTGTGACCCGCCGCCAACAAGTTTCTGATCCATCCGTATACAAGAACTGACTGACTGACTTGACGTTTGTTTGTATTGAAAATCCGAATCATTTTGTTGTTGATGCAGGCTGAGTTGAGTGACAGCGGAAGATTTCCAGATTGGTTGGTGTCAGGTTGATGAATGTGTTTCTCGCCTTCCCGATTCTCGATTTGACATCCTCGTATGTCCGTTCCTCGTGTAGTTGAGACAATGCTCCCTCCCTAGATAAGTGAATGAAGTGTAACCTCTTTCAAATCCCTCCGCTTGATGGTGATTGGCGGTGGATGTTGCTCCTGCTGTTGTTGTTGTTTTTGTTGGTTGGTTATTTTCATAACCTTCGTCTTGTTTATGTTCACCAGGAGTCCTGTCTTCTCTGGCTTCTTCTTTGACCAGTTTGTCGGTCAGGTTTCGCTTGTAAGTCTTCGATTTTGTGACATCAAACATAAATCATCCAGGTCTTCTAGATTCTTCACGTCGGTCCAGGATATCCCTGTCTTCTCGTTTCTCACTGTCTGACGCATAATCCAGTCCACCACACTTGGGAATGTCATTTGTGATAATGAGCACTCTTGTCTGACTGCTGTGTTTACTCCAAACGCCTGGATGATTTTCCCGTTGTGGATCACTTGACATGTGGCGTTGTCGTACAGCTGTTGAATAAGGTTGATGAATATTTGTCGTACGCCGTATTACTCGAGTAGTTTCCAAATTACTTCGCTGTCAACGCTGTCGAAGGCCTTCTCAAAGTCTATGACGTTGAGGTAGATGTTTGATTGCCATTCCATGCTTTGTTCTGTGATGATGCGTAGAGTTGCAATTTGGTCAAAACAACTGATTTGCCTTTCCTGAATCCAGCTTGTTCTGGTCGGAGTTCTGTATCCAGTGCGTCCATTATCCTATCCAGGATGATGCGACTCAGAATTTTACTTGGCGTCGACAGGAGCATGATTCCTCGCCAGTTCTTGCAGAGTCCTAGGCCGCCCTTCTTTGGTAGCTTCACTAGGTAACCTTTCTTCCAGTCGGTAGGCACCTTTCCCTCTTTCCAGATCTTTCGCAATAATGGAGTCAGCATATCTGCTGTCGTCTCCGGGTCCGCTTTCAGTGCTTCCGGGGTATTCCATCTGGTCCAGCTGCTTTTGCAGCTTTCAGAAGCTTGATTGCATTCAAGAGTTGTTTTTAATATACAGTGACATTATTTCATTTATCTGATAATTTTAGTTATTAATATTATTGTTATTATCAATTTATACTTTTTGTACATTTTTGAATTTTGCTGTTACAGTCAATGCCAAAAGAGCTGCTATTATCAATTTTAGTCGCCTATACCCTGTATTGATTTTTTGTTGCTGTTTTTGAGTAAATTAAATGCAGTATTGTATCAGATGCTGAGAACTCGCTGCTCCATCATAAGTGCTGTTTTGGAATAAAGCAAATCATTATTATTATTATCACCTCTATTTCACCCATCTGTCTACCGACAGTGTCAGCTGCCTTCACAACTTCCCATGGGCTTCCATCACCTGTTAACATGATTTTCTGAATTTCACTTTCAAACGCTCAACCTGTTGTTTCCCCACTCGGGTTCAGAGAGATGGCTTAGTTCATGTGTGATCTCATTCGAATGTCTCCTCAGCATATGTCCAGTCCGTCTACATTTCCTCTTGAGTAGTTTTTGGGTAGTAGGTTGTTGCCTAATGGTTCTCTGTTTGTGGAATTACATGTCACTAGCTTGTCCCTTACGTCCAGGCAGCGAAAAGGGCAATTGATGATGAAAGTCCGTCGTGTTCTATTTCCTGTTGGTTAATGATATTCAACTAAATTGTCCAGCCTCTGTTGACACGCCGGCTCCTAGTGCGGATGCTTTGACGTTATCCAGCGAATAAAATAATGTTATTTGGTGGATAGCGACTAGTAGTGGAACCCCGTAAATGCACATTGCGTTTTGTTTGGTACTAGGCGGCTGGATTTACCGGCAGTCTGTAGTGAGTGATTACATTTCCAAAAGATTCAAACCCACTGCTCATCGTTTCAAATACCAAAGCATTATCCACTACGCCACTTGAATCACGGAGGGATTGGCTTGACTAATATAGTATCTAAAGTCCTAGGCTCAATAATACTGAGTAGATTAAGTGGTGCTCGGGAGGCACAAACACGAGAAAACCAGGCAGGTTTTAGGCCAGGAAGAGGGTGTATTGATCATATCTTCACCCTCCGACAGATTCTAAAACATAGGCATTCCTACCAGCGTCCAATAATCATTATATTTCTTGACCTAAAGGCGGCATTCGATTATGTCGACCGAAAGGTTCTCTGGCGATGCTTGCCTGTGAAGGGAATGCCGAGAAAATACATTGCACTGATTAAGGCACTCTACTTGAGCTCATGTAGCCAGGTGAGGGCTTACGGCGAGTTGTTATCTGAAGTGGTGACGACTAGTGGTGTCCGTCAAGGATGCCCATTATCCCCATTTCTATTCAACTTCATCATAGACATACTTATGGACTTAATCCTAACACACTTCAGCGACTCAGGGATTGACTTGCTACCAGGGAATAATCTCGTCGAATTAGAATATGCGGACGATATAGTCCTTCTAGGCGAGGACGCTGACAAAATGCAGAGTCTACTGAACACCTTGAGCTGCAATCTACGAATGTTTGGCATGTGATTCGCTCTTGCTGTCAAATGTAAGATGATGTTGCAGGATTGGACTACACTGACTCCTAGATTAGAAATAGGAAGTGAAGTGGTAGAGCACGTTGACCGCTTCACTTATTTGGGAAGTACCATCAGCCAGTGCCAACGGGTTGATCTCTGACGAAATCTAAGTACGAATACAGACGACTAGTTTCGCATATGCCAGTTTACGCCGTCTCTGGCGTAGACGAGATATCCGACTATCGACCGAAGGGCATGTGTACTGCTCATCAGTCCGCTCCGTCATCCTTTACGGCTGGCTGTCAGACCTAGCCATTGAGAGCGAAAGACATGAAAAGATTAGCTGTCTTTGATCATAGCTGTCTGCGTTCTATCTCCCGCGTGAAGTGGTATAATAAGGTGAGCAATATTGAGGTTAGTCCATCGGTCGAGTGCTAGGTAGGTGGGAGGGGAAATCAATCGACGAGACTATGAAATTACATCGATCAACAGACTGCACATATCGATCCGATATCTCTTTTACAAATCTGTCCGTCTCCCTGTCTGTTTTTGACATAGAACTTTGCATATATGTGCGCCAGTTCAAGTCGACACACTCCCTCCTTATAGCACACAAAGCAAGAGAAGAAAATAGCAGAAATGCATATTAGAGACAGTAAATAGAGGTGTGAGACAAAGGAATAGTAATAACGAAGAACAAAACAGTTTCATTGGAAATCATTAGTCACAAGGAGTGGATGCATCTGCACTGGCCAGCCATTGAGAACGATTTTGAGCTAGCCATGTCACCAATTGTTTCCAGCCTTCATTGGTTTTTACCGTCCCGAGGACCCCAACCAGTCAGGAAGTCTACACCTTCCTACGTGGCTGGCTTAGACTAACTGTTGTAGATTTCATTGACTGATGAGGCCATGTTTTGGTTTGACCACCACTAGCTCTTTTCCATCTAACATTGCCTGTCTAGGAAGGTGATGACTAGGAACACACAAAAGCAGAGAAAAGAGACGAAGTTTCACTGGAGACAGGATAGCTACGTGGAAAAATCTGACATTGAACTGTCGAGCTTCTTATTTTTTCTCTTGAAATCTCATAAAAATTTAGACTATTCAAATTATTTCCGGTGTTCCCTCTTTCATTTAGAATCAAGAGGCCAGTCTTCTGCAGAATGTAGTACATATGGATGCATTACGTGGACTCGTGTTTTGGCATACTTTGGGGAAATCTATCACTGGAATCGATTATTTAACTGCCTGTGCACAAGTCAACAGTAAACCACACCCTACAAACACGGAAAACGATATGAAAAATGAATCGATACTGCTGACAAAATGTTTACCAGAAGAATTTGTAAGTTCTTTTTTTGCTAAAATAAAAACATTTTTCAAAATATAAAAGAAAAGAAGGCGTCCAGCGAAGAGACTTTTTTCGGCGAATTCATTCACTGAGCTGTACAATCGCATTTATATATATATATAAGTATTATTTGGTGTGGTTGTGTTCTCTGAGCTGGATGGTTTGGTTGCGAAGCTTTCATTGCTCTACTGAGCAACATCTTCAGCGCATACTTCGATGTGAAGTGAGCTTTTAGAATTCTCTATGAGTTTATTAGTCATCTCTTCTAGTAACCCTGAACGTGATTGGTTGTTTTCGTGTGACATTTCACCCCCTAGTTTGCTTGTCTCGGTGCTGGCTGCTTCTTTGGTCTGAATGTCGTTAGTCATTCCTTCTGCTAACCTTGAACGTGATTGGTTGTTTTTGTGTGACTTCTCACTTTCTAGTTCACTTGTTTTGGTGTTGACTGTTTCCTTGACCTGAAGTTTGACTTTGTTTTTGTGTGAATTTCTTCGTATGGATTGGTATATTTTGTCAATCTCCATGTGTTTATTGATTGCTGATTCATTTGAATACCAGGCCTCTAGGAATTCTCTGGCATTTTTGCAGTTCCCTTTGTCTAAGATTTGAACATTGTCCCAGTCGAATTGGTGCCCGTGGTTGTCTGCATGTAGTGATATGAGGGAGTGTATGTCGTGTCTTTTGACAGCTAGTTTGTGTTCGTGAATGCGAAGACGAAGAGGGCGTCCACTTTGACCAATGTAATTTTTGTCACAGTCGTTGCAACTTATCTTGTAAATGACGTTAGTTTTGTCTTCTTTTGCCGTTGAGTCCTTTGGTTTACATAGAACTGAGTGAAGTGACTTTGTTGGTTTATGAGCGACATCGATTCCAAAAGGTTTGAATAGTCTTGCAGTGATTTCGGAGATATCTTTTATATATGGTAGGACGACTTTCTTTGTGTTTTCGCTGGTGGCCTTTGATTTGGTTGGTTGAGCTTGGGGTAGATGTCGTTTGATGAAGTTTCGTGGGTATCCATTTCTTTGGAAGACGTCCATAAGATGATTTTCTTCAATTTTCCTCAAGGCGGGAGTGCTGCAATGAGTCCTGGCCCTCTTGGACAATGTACGTATGCAGCTTATTTTGTGTGATGTTGGGTTGTTACTGTTGTAATTGAGTATTTGATCCAAGTGCGTTATCTACAAGATAAGTTGCAACGACTGCGACAAGTATTTTTGGGTTGGTAACAAACGTTAATTAGATAGAAAATAAAATAAAATTGATTGAGTGAATTGGATGACGTAATACAGTTGAGTAGAATTCAGATTAGGTCAGGTTGGCAACAGTGTTAATGAGTGGTATTTAAAATCAAATAAGGGTGGGGTTAGAGAATAATACAGTTGAAAATAAGTTAGTTAATCGGATGACGTAACACAGTTGACTAGAAATTGGACGTGGGTCGAGTCAGCAACATTGTTAATGAGGGTAGAGATTACAAAAGGGTGGGGTAGAGAATAATACAAATGAAGATGTGAAATAATAAAATGCAAAAGACAAAATAATACAATTAGTAAGACTGAAATTAAGAAAGATTACGTCCATTGTAGATTTAATGAATGAACGAATTTCTTTTGTATGCAGAGTTCAGGATTTAGCAGATGAATTGCCATTGCTTCTGCGATGTGGAGAAGTTTGATCCGTACACTTTTAGCAAGATTGCCTTGTATTCTGTTGACAACCTTGAAGTTTATTTCTGGTTTGACTTGGTTTCCTGAATCGATCAAATGTTCAAGGATCGAGCTGCGGGGGCATCGGTTTTCTCCTTTATAAAACCATGAAGGTAAATGTTCGTTGACGCGTTTGGATAGCGAACGCTGATTACGGCCGATATACCTGGCTCCACACGAGCAGGTGAATTGGTAGATGCACATAGATGAGGCCAAGAGCGGTAGCTTATCCTCCACGTTCATGCGAATCATTGGTCTCGTGGAGAACGTCAGTCGTAATTCAGCTGCAAAGAAGGTTTTCTTCAATTAGCGGGAGAGCCGATTTCTCAGTATTTCTGTAGATTGGTCTCCATTGAACTGTAGGTTCAGAATGGTTAACAGACTCTACTTTTTACAGGGCAAAGAAATATCCAGGGGTGTTTTCTCACTTTTGTTTTTCTAGTGAGACTCAGAATATGCCTGTAACTCCACTAGGGATATTTCATTTGGATATAATATCATCTGCATGTGTTTGTGGTCCAGTCATAGAATAATAGCCAACCATGTATGTGTTCTGGGTTCGATTCCAGGCCAACGACTTCTCAGCCTTACTTATTATTATTGTTCCCTTGAGATCCTAGTGGAACATAGGGCTTCAACTGCACGTCTCAACTTCCTTCTGTTTTCTGCTGTACTTTCCACATGCATCCATGTTAGTCCATACTGTTTCAGCTCCTCTTCACACGATCTCCTCCATGTCACCCTTGCACCGACGTCCCACTCACCGCTTACCTTTCGGGTTCCACTCGACCTATGGCCTGACTGACGCGCGATGTCACCCAGCCGCCTCCTCAGCGAGTGTCCAATCCATCTCCACTTCTTTCTAGTGCATATTTGTTGCGCGATCGGTTCTTGTTTTGTTTCTTCCCATAGTTTCTTGTTGGTTCTTGTTCTTTCCGGCGGCCATCTGATCTTCAGTATAGAGCCAGCGAAGACAGTTGTTGTTGATAAAGGTGTGCAACAGGCTGTTGGAAATATTCTTTGTGACTCGCCGCCAACAAGTTTCTGATCCATCCGTATACAAGAACTGACTGACTGACTTGACGTTTGTTTGTATTGAAAATCCGAATGATTTTGTTGTTGATGCAGGCTGAGTTGAGTGACAGCGGAAGATTTCTAGATTGGTTTCAGGTTGATGAATGTGTTTGTCGCCTTCCCGATTGTCGATTTGACATCCTCGTCCGTTCCTTGTGCCTGTAGTTGAGACAATGCTCCCTCCCTAGATAAGTGAATGAAGTAACCTCTTTCAAATCCCTTAGCCTTACCTAGCTGGTACTAATTTCGTAAAAACAGATAAATACCAGTGATACTGAAATTCTGAAGCTCAAGGATGAAGCCCTGTGTTCCACTGAGAACATACATAATTTGATTGGATACCAGTTAGTAACTAGTGTAGTGTGTCTGGTCCTTTGTTCAGTGCAGACTGAATTCTATCAGTTCAGTTTGCAATGTGGTCACTCCGAATTGTTGATATTAGATGGCTGTAGGCAATCAGCTGGTAGTCGTACCTGACCCAGGTTTCGTGCTAGTTGGCACTCGTCAGCAGAGTACCTTCACCCTTGATATAAGAATAAAACTTGGGCACTGTGGTAGAGTGTAATTCCATTATGGGTAAATTTTATTTTGATAAAGTCTCACAGTGTTATACAGTAATATTTACTGATGACGTTTCGAGCACAAATTACTGCTCATAATCATATCAAGGTGATGTGATATGATATGATATGATTATGAGCAATAAATTGTGCTCGAAACGTCATCAGTAAATATTACTGTATAACTCTTTGATACTTTATCAAAATAAAATTTACCCATAATGAAATTACCTTCACCCTTGAAGGAAATCATGTCCCTTCTGAGATTCGAACCGACGTTTATTAGATGTAATACACAGTGAAACAGTATTATTTACTGGATGAAGCGGTGTCGAACAAAATTTATCGTTCATAATCATATCATCAATTGTGATCACACAACTTTGAGACTTGAGTTTTATAGTTTTCGTTGTTTTCTCCTATTTGTCGTAGGGATATCTGGGACTGATTCGATAAACAAAGCTTCTGTTATCAATCTCTCCTTATACCCTGTGACATAAGATTTTAAAATTGTCATCCTATCCCATCCTATTGTATGGTTGTGTGTAACTGCATGTAGTGTAGTGCTATAGCTGAACTATTTTCTAGATTTCTTATCTTATTTGGATCAACCCATCTAGATTTTGCTAGGATTTTATGCTCGGCTAGTTTGACTTTCGGATTGTTAAAGAGGCAGTCAGAAACGAACTCATTTCTGACCAAGAACTCTAACTTAAGAGGAAAGTGCCACTTGAGGAAACAATGCTGGGGTACAGCTGTGCCTGACTTCCACAGTATTTAAATTCCAAGGGAAAATATACAAACAAACTAAGGGAGTTGCCATGGGATACACCAATATCCCCGGCTGTAGCAGATATATTCATGGATAGGTGGGAAAACATAGCAGTTGAAATGTTCACCCCCACCCCAAAAGTATGGTGGAGTTATGTAGATGACACATTCACTGTACTTAAAACACAAGATATAGATAGAATTTTCGAACACATCAACTCAAAGGTGGAGGTAATCCAATTCACGTATGAATTGGAAAGTCAGGAAGGGGAACTGCCAATGTTAGATTGCAACGTAAAAATGAAAGAAGATGGAAGTCAAACACTAGTGTTTACAGGAAACCCACACATTCAAACAGATATTTGGACTTCCGATCATTCCATCCTATGTCAATAAAAATAGGATTGGTGAATTGTTTAAGTGACAAAGCACAAAAACTAAGTAGTACCAAGGAAAATCTAAGACAGGAAGTAAGGCATATAAGAGAAGCCTTGAAACTTAATAATTACCCTGATAAATTAGTCAGAAAGTATGTAGGGAAACGTAAAAATAAAAATAAAATGAATAATGATAGCAGTGATAATAATAATAATGATCATAATAATAATAGTCATAATAATAGTAATGACGATAGGCATGTCAAACATGCTCAAGACAACACGAACAATAAGGAATCTAAATCATCAGTTGTAATCCCATACAAGGAAAGAACCTCGGAAACCTTACGAACAGTTCTTAACAAAAGAATAGACACGGAACAAAGAGTACTCTTTTCGATAAATTCATCATCAGGTTCTACAATTATATATACATTATAATGAATGAATGAATTAGTCTTATGAACGACATTAATGTTTAAATAACATCAAATCAATAATATTGATAGATTACAGCTGAACAGCATCAACATGAAATAAACTGAATGTCAGAAGAATTAGGAAGGGTAATAGTACAAATTCATGAGTTTATAGTCTCTACTGAGGGCCAGGGCAGTAGTAGGGAAACACAAGCATGGGGACACGCAATTTTTTAAGGAGCCTAAAAGGCCTAGAATGAGAAGATATGGCATAGAAGTACTAGGAATGTTTGAGAGCAAGTGGAATGGAAATTGATTCTCCAAATCGATAACTGTAGATTCAGTAATCTACTAAAGTCATCCAGACGACAACCACGAGCTCGGAGAAGATAGAATTGTCTGTCAAATCATATCAGATAAAATTTCATTTTCAAGAGTGTTTCTGTGTGCATATGCGTGTGATCACTGTGTGAATTGCAAACTGAGGCATATACTTCCTTAAGCCTATGTTATGCTTTGTTTTCCTTTTCCTTCTGTAGCTTGAATGTCCTGATCCTGATCTGTCGTCTACACTACGTAAACTTGGCAGTGTTGCATCGGGATTCGATTCTGTAGTGAATCGAGTTGAACAGCTTGAAGTAAGTTGTCTGGGAGGATTTACTTACTGACCGAATTAATTAGCTATACGCTCATTTACTTAGCCACTTACTTGCTTACTTATTTACTTAGATACTTATTTAATTACTTACCTATCTGTTTACTCACTTATTCGGTTGCTAACTTATTTACCTAATCACTTCCATACTTATTTACTGAACTACTTAGTTACTTATTTCCTTCCTTAGTTATTTAGTTAATCACTTGTTCATCTACCTAGTACTTTGTTTACTTACTTACTCACACACTCACCTACTTTCTTGCTTACTTACCTACTCACTTAGTTAATCACTCAATTATTTACCGACTTTTTTACTCAGTTACTCACCTACCTACTTATTTACCTGCTTAACTACTTATATGGTTGCTTGCATGCCTGCCTACCTACCTACTTACTGAATTTTGCTTGAATTCATGCACGGAAATCGATTTCAACCTATCACTTATGGTTCGTAAGTATTTAATATGTGAAAGATAACTATCGCTTTCGATTTCCCCGCTATATAAATGTCTCTTATGTGTGAAAAATAACTGTCAATACAAAGGATTGTCGACTTATTTGACTCTTTTAATAGATATCCCGACTTTACTAATATCACTTTAGGTTATTAACCGTTATTGTTGAATACGGAGCACTTGTACATTGTGACTTTCTAATTTCCCATCTGTTTTGCACACGGCATCAGAAATAAAAGCTGAATCTGCCCAAGTTTTTGACAAATCTTGATGATGCTGATATGCAAACAGATGTATGGGTTGTCTTAAAACTCGTTGTGTAAGACAAATAATGTTGAATAAAGCAAGAACAACAGTGGTTTGTGCAGAATAATATGGTACCATCATTTATTTCGTAGGCTTCTCATCACCTGCTTACAGCCTAAATAAATTATGAGGTTTGCACACAGAAAAGTTTTAACATACTTGCAAATTTTACATGTTGTCAGTTAACAAAAAGTTCCACAATAAGTGAATAGTGCTCAGAAAATTGCGCTTATATAGTTTTTACACAGGCAGTTCAAGTTTAAACAAAATAAATGTATGCATACAATGGTAAAAGAGCTACGTAATAAAGACGAAATATGAGTTAGATACAGAGTGACTAATAAATTAAGTAACATTGCACTGAGTTCAACTCAAATCATAGAAACAAGAGACAAGCAAAATTACAGATTATATAAGGGGGTGAGGTTAAAGACAAAGATTACGTAATCAGATGAGAGAATAAAGACATTCAGTTACCAGGGCAAAGAGAGATTAATAACTGCTTCTTTCTGAACACATAAATCTGGTTTCAAGCGTTTGATAGAGATTGCTTCGGCAAACTTGAGGAGAATGGAACTCCTTTGTCTATTGATAATTTTAAAGGATTTCTCGATTTCTACCTCATGACCCGTGTCGAGAAGATGTCTAGTGATAGCGCTGCTATAAGAGTTTGTTCCCTTGAGACGTAGGCTTCTTGGCACATGTTCAGAAAATCGGAGGTGTGCCCTTCTTTCTGTTCTCCCAATGTAACTGCTCCCGCAGATACACGTAAATTTGTATACACAGTTGGAGTTAACATGAGAAGGGTATCTATCGACTTTTGACTGCACCAAAGAGCATGTTGTTCGATGGACGGGAACCAACTTAGCTGCAGGATAGGCTATGGCTAGTGATGTTCTCAGTCTTCTGTTGACCATTTCTGCAATGTTTTCACCTTTAAAATCTAGTTGAATGAAGACAGGCTTTTTTTCAACTGTGATTTGTTTGGTATTTGAGTCTTCACATCTTCCATATTTGTTTATGAATCTTTGAGGGTAACCGTTATTTTTCAGCACCTTTTCGAGGAACATAAATTCTCCCTCTAGTTTCTCTGTAGAGCATATTCTCCTTGCTCTATAGTACAGAGTCTTGACTAGTGCTCGTTTATAGCTATTTGGACAAAAGCTATTAAAATGTAAGTATTGTCCATTCCATGTAGGTTTTCGGTAAATTGACCTCTGGAGATTACCATCTCCTAGGCGTTGCAAGGCGATGTCAAGGAAATGGAACTTTCCATCATTTTCATGTTCCATGGTAAATACTTTCGTTGTTGCATACTACAAATGTGTCATCAACATATCAACAATAGGGAGTTGTTTGATCGATTGCATGCTTCAACTTTTTTTTCTCAAGGTTTGACATGAAGATATCTGCTAAAACAGGGCTAAGTGGACTGCCCATAGCTACACTGTCTACTTATCGGTAAAGAGTGTTATCAAACTGGAATTGTACACCCATGGTAAACATTAGCAGTAGACGTTTGAATTATGACTCTGGTAGTTGAAGAAGATCAGACTGTTGACAAATGATTTCAATGGTTTCATTGATTGGGATCATTGTGAACAAGGAGGTTGCATCAAATGAAACCATGGACTTATTTGAAACGTTCATATGATTCACGCTTTCGGCGAAATGAAATGAGTCTTTTATGGTATGCACGGCTAGCGGTCGGCGAATGGGTTCGAACTTCTCCGAAAGCCAACGGGTAAGCTTATGTTGCGGAGAGTTGATCATCGAAAGTATAGGTCTCAGAGGGACTTCTTTCTTGTGTGTCTTTGGAAGGCCATACATATATGGCAAGCGGAACCCTCGGGGTTTCAATTCATTGTACGTGTTGTTGTCAATCAAGTTATTCTTTAGAAGATCTCTCAGTACATTTGTGATGCGTTTTTCAGTTGCATCTGTCTTGTCTTTCTGATAGTCGTCGACTTTAAACCTCAACGGGTCATTCCGCACAGTTTTCATTCTTGCGATGTAGTCATCTTTATCCATCATTACCACTCCTGAGCCTTTTTCAGGTCGCAGTATGACGATTTTGTCATTATTTCTGATAGATTTCAATGCCTTTCGATGCTCTTCAGAGAGGAAATTGGAATATGATGTTGGTGAAATGAGGTATTGATTTGCAACGTCAACCAACTTACATTTGAACCAGCTCTTCTTGTCCTCATCAACTGGAGTAAGGTCATTTATTTTGTTTAAACTTGAACTGCCTGTGTAAAAACTATATAAGCGCAATTTTCTGAGCACTATTCACTTATTGTGGAACTTTTTGTTAACTGACAACATGTAAAATTTGCAAGTATGTTAAAACTTTTCTGTGTGCAAACCTCATAATTTATTTAGGCTGTAAGCAGGTGATGAGAAGCCTACGAAATAAATGATGGTACCATATTATTCTGCACAAACCACTGTTGTTCTTGCTTTATTCAAATTCATTAAGGGGAATAAATGCATGAACAAATAATGTTGTTGTTTCTCTCCAGCATAATTTAGATATTTCCACTTTCCACCATAAAAGGTTAACCATCAAGCTATCTGTCAGTGCAAGTACCACTAGCATTTTTGATTCCCCTGACGGTATGGCATTTTGTCTCAAACTGTCTTTAGCAAACATTAAGGCCGTTTCATTTGAATGACAGTAGGAGGATGAGACCAACGTTTTATCGGATGATATGGGGAGGAAGGAGAAGTTTGAAAAAATAATTTTCACATAAGGTGATACTAAAAATTTGTTATTGACACCTTTTTGGTGGAATTTAAAAGATGTCCTTCTGAGTGTGTTTAGCCAATCCTCAGTAAAAAGAGTCTCTAACCTTTTCTGTCTAACCAACAAACAAACTTTTGAAATGATTAAGTGGCCACTGGCAGACAGTACAAGGATTTTTGGGGTATTCTGTATTATGCAATGAGATGTTGGAAGTTTCGATTCATTTTATGTGGAATTATTAATAAACGCCATGATAAAGAAGCTTGAAAGTTTTCGCCATCTTCCTTTCAGCCCAATTTTTATCTGTTTCATGTAATCATCATTGTAACACTTTCCTTCACTGTTAATCTGTTCACTTCATTTTTCTGAGGCAGTCAGCCTTTTTTGTCATTAAAATCATGTTTAACTTATCCAGTTGTGATATGATGATATTCTAGTGGAAAAAATTCACCGACCACCCAAATTTAAACTTCCCTTATGAGTTGGATAGTGGGAAACGAGAAGACATGGATATCCTGGACCGAACGACGTGAAGAACCTAGAACACCTGGATTTCGCGCGTGGATGATTTGTGTTTGATGCCACACAAAATCGAAGACTTACAAGCGAAAACCGACCGACAAACTGGTGGAAGAAGCAGCCAGAGAAGACAGGACTCTAGGTGAACATAGACAAGACGGAGGTTATGAAAATGACCAACCAACAACAACCACAACAACAGCAGCAACATCCAGTGCCAATCACCATCAACGGGAGGGATTTGAAAGAGGTCACCTCATTCACTTATCTAAGGAGGGAGCATTGTCTCAACTACAGGAGGAGCGGACGGACGACGATGTCAAATCGAGAATCGAGAATCAGGCAGGCGAGAAACACATTCATCAACCTGATACCAACCAATCTGGAAATCTTCCGCTGTCACTCAACTCAGCCTGCATCAACAACAAAATGATTCGGATTTTCAATACAAACGTCAAGTCAGTCAGTTCTTCTTTACGGATGGATCAGAAACTTGACGGCGGGTCATAAAGAATATTTCCAACAGCCTGTTGCACACCTTTATCAACAACAACTGTCTTCGCTGGCTCTATAATGAAGATCAATGAGATGGCCGGAAAGAACAAGAACCGACAAGAAACCATGGGAAGAAACGAAACTAGAACCGATCGCCCAACAAATATGCAGGAGAAAGTGGAGATGGATTGGACACTGGCTGAGGAGGCCACTGGCTGGGTGACATCGCATGTCAGTCAGGCCATAGCTCGAGTGGAACCCGGAAGGGAAGTGGCGAGTGGGACGTCAGTGCAAGGGTGACATGGAGGAGATCGTGTGAAGAGGAGTTGAAACAGTATGGACTAACATGGACGGAGGTGAAAAGTACAGCAGAAGAGAGAAGCAAGTGTAGACGTGTAGTTGAAGCCCTATGTTCCAATAGGAACCCAGGGGGACAATAGTAATAATAATGAGTCG